TCTATCTATCTATCTATCTATCTATCTATCTATCTATCTATCTATCTACCATGTGAGTCCCAGGAACTGAACTCACGGTGTTGGATTTGCTGGTAAGCATCTTTACTCACTGAGCTACCTGGCTGCCCCACTTCATCAAATTCTGAGCTTGCTTCACGGGAGGCTGAAGATTCTGTCTTTGGATTGACCCAGAGGCAACTGTTGCTCAGTTAAGAAAGCCCGATGGAATCACACTTAATGACATATTTGTGAACAATTATAGACTTTTCTAGAGCCAGGAAAAAGGGCACTTTTTTGCTCAAGTTCAGGCCTGAGCTCTTGATGCTGCCAACACTAGCAGGTGTTGTTCTTTGGGAATCAACAGACACATGGAAATCACTGGGGAATCAACAGACACATGGAAATCATTGGCAGCTCTTCTAGAAGGCAATGGTTCCAAAAGAGCAGGCTCTGGGCAGCAAGAGAGATGCGTTTTGTATGAGAAATGGGAGGGAAAATGATTAAGATTTAGAGAAATAATAATGTTCCCATCATGTGTCTTCATGGCGCCTTTCCCTAAGGTACATGGTATTTATGTTAACTCTTTTATTCTTATGGTGTCCCTCTGAGGTAGGTATAAAACAACTGAAAGCCTAAGGCGTGGAAGCTATTGTTAGAAGCAAAGCATTTCTTCATATTGAATAGATCGATCACCTCCTTCCCCTCAGCTTCAGTAAAGTCATTTTTAAAAGATGAAAGCTATTACAATTTAGGGAGAATGAGATTACAGTTTACTATGTGGGAGACTCTCCGAGTTGGGTTTAATAGGGTAGTTTTCTTCAGTGATGTGGGGCTGCATTCTTTTATGGAAAACCAGAACACAAAAAAACTCTCAAGAAGGGTATGAGTCAGAAGTTTTTAAAACTTGGCATTGAAAGATACTACTTACAGGAGGATCTCTGTGAGTTCGAGGCCAGCCTGGTCTACAGAGCGAGAGTGAGAGCAAGAGCGAGTTCCAGGACAGCCAGGGCTACACAGAGAAACCCTATCTTGAGGGGTGGGTGGGAGAGAGGCACTACTTAATAGTGGCTGCTTTTTCAAGGGGACCTCTCTAAAATTACACTATGAATGTCAAGCTTTGTAGACCACGTCGAGTCACTAAAAGAGACCAAATTAAACTAAATGCTCTTTCTGAAATCAAAAATGAAGGAAAAAAAAGGGACCCCATAACAAATTAACAGTGTACAATAAATGTTCCCATATGCAAGACTCTTCCACTGAAGTTTCTCATCCTCTGACAATGTGTGTTCATAACTGCTTTACCCCTGTGGTGGTTTAGATCCCAAGTAGCCCCCTTTAGTTTGCCTCTGGTTGTGTACTTCTAATGATATACAAATTGTTACATATGCCTTATTAGAGCTACTTTTGAGGTAGGTGGATGCAGTCATGGTTAAGTTAGCGAAAACCTGGTCTTTGCATTCCTTCCTCATGTTCTGAAACAGATGGGGACAAGAGCAGAAACCAGAGATGGTCTTAAAGATGCCACATAACTATTAATAAAGAGACAAAGATAGACAACACCCTCTCCTCATGTCTTCCCACGTGAAGTTTTCTCTTATTAAAGGAATCCAGACCAGTGTTCTTCGTAAAGAGAGCAAATGCCACCAGAACTAGCAGTTCGAGTTGGTGAAGAAATTGAGCAAGAGAGAGCTTCTGACCTCAGAGTCCGGGCTCCAGTCACTGATGTTCAATCCCCTGCCACCTCCCACACCCTGACTTCACTATTGAAGGGAGATTTTTACCTCTGGGACCTCAACATCCAAAGTCTTTTCCAGAGATTGCTCTGAAGTCAGTTAGTGGAAATGCTGTTTTTCTTTACTATGAGCCGAGCAAAGACCAAGTTTTCTCTAGTTCACTTGACAGAAGTTGAATCCAATCCCTACTAACACAAGCCAACTAGATGAGAAGCCTAGGCTGATGGGCTGAAGTGCTGCCAGCAAAGTTTAGAAAAACCAGTAGGACTAGCTTTCATTAGATTTGGCTTACAGAGAACAGAATCTTAAAAGCGCTCAAGGTTTCCAGAGGGCGTGCACCCACGTTGCATGACATACCTTTGGGAAGCGAAGAGGCTGAGTTGAGTGTGTAGCTCGGCTTTGACAAGGAGTTATTAGATTCGTCTTTTGCCAGTGGGAAGATGCATTCAGATGTCAAGTTTACCGCGCTGCCTCAGCCTACAGGTCTGCCTTGTGCTGGCTTCTGAGCACCACACTGAAGCAGGGTGCAAGCCCCAGATCCATCAATACAGTTTCCTCCTCCCTGACTCTTGCTCTCCCTCCAAGCTACCCCCAGCCAGTCTGCAGTCTGCAGGCAAACCACACAGGAACTAGCAGACACCCTGCTGCGCAGAGCTGGGCGTGAGCCTTAGATTATGTGGTTTTGTTTTCTTGCTGCTAGAGTCAACGCAGGAGGTTCACCGAAACATGCCTGTTCCTTTACGTTTCAGTTTTAACAAAACCCGCCTGCCCCCAATGCTCACATTCACATAAGAAAACTTCTGAGTTTGGGTATGGTCCAGTAACAAGCTGCTGCTGGCCTCAATTAAAAAAAAAAAAGTCTGTCTTCACATCCTTCCATCCAGAGAAACGTAAAGGCCACTGGAAAAAAGTAAAAGTCTTCCCTGGTCAATCATGATGTTAAAATCTTAGAGAAATGGCTTGGTAAGTGCTTCCAGACTATTTACATAACTCTTAGCTTGTGATACAAATCTTGACCCAAAAGAGAAGGAAGAAAAGGGGTGGGAGGCTTTCTAAGCCGGGAGTTCTGTTAGCGACAAGCTAACTGAGTTAACCAGCCAGTGAGCTGGTGGTTCTAAGTCCAGGCTTGCCACAGTCAAGAGTGAGGATCTTTCCTTGGACCCATGGTACTTCACGTGCTCTTGAGCAAGCTGGACCCAAGGTCCTCTCACAATTTAAGACTCATCATCTCCCTCAACCTCCCCAGTTCTCACCTCCGTATTTCTAACTCGCCCTGCCCCCACATCACCTGCAGCTAGTTGAAGCCTGTCTTCCTTTCTCTTTGTTCTTTGTATCTTTTGCACAAAAAGGAGACATATTTCAACTGGCTAAGCAAGGCCTTTAGAGTTCGGAGGCTGAACCCAAGGTGAAGAGGGACATTTCTGGATGCCACTGGCATTAATCTTTGGATAGTTTTCTCTATTTGATTCAATTTGAAGTTCTAAGATTTTAACTTAGTCTTCATTCCTGCCTTCTGAGGTGGCATCTCACTGCTTTTTTAAATGATAAACTTTTCTAAAAATTTATTTTATTTTTAGGTTTTGCGAGATAGAGTTTCCTGGAACTTGCTCTGTCGACCAGGGTGGCCTCAGACTCAGAGATGCGCCTGTACTACCTCCATGTTCTGGGATTAAAGGTGTGCACCACCACCACTGGGCTTGGATTTATATTTAAAAACCCATTTTCTCACTATAATTGCTCACATTTTTTTTTTTGAGTCATGTTGTCTTATGTACTATAGCCCAGGCTATGCCTGGAACTCTTCGACCTCTAGCTGCAGCCTCACGATTTGGGTCCAGGCAGCCCCAGTGCTGGGTTATAGATGTGTACTACCATGCCTGCTTGGTTATACATTTTAATTGAAACAGGAAGAAGCCTGGCATAGAGCTGGCCTGTTACCTTGGTCATAGTAGGTGCTCAGTAAATATTCGTCAAATGGCTAGGAGAAGTAATCTGCATCCTTAGTAATGGGATATTTAAAGGATCTTAGTTTTAATTACATGCACATGTGTAGTTATGTGCATAGAAATGCAATGTCCATGGAGACCAGAAGAATGCTGGGTCTCCTGAAGCCGGGGTAACAGACCACAGTGAGCTGCTCGACCTGAGTCTTTAGTGGGCCATTTCTCCAGCTTCTTATTAACGAAAGTCTGAACAATTTTCTTCAAGCTAAGTTGCATGTGAGCAGGATAGCCACTGTTTTCACCTCACAAAGAATTTAAGAGAGAACACATTGAAGTAACACTGGCTTCAGGGTCCCACCTTTGTGACCTAAGGGCCTTCTTGGGTCCCATCAGTACATTAAACAGCTCCATTGCCAAGTTCCAGGGCTCTGAGAGCTCCTGGCCAGCAGCTTCCTCAGCAGCAGTTTCCCAGTCAGCCGCATGGAATGCTTAACCATGGCTCCATCAGCTTGCAAGGCTGGGGTGTGGGGAGGAAGGGCAAACAGCAAATAGTTCTATTCAGAACCTCTTAGAGGGGTTTCAGCGGGTACCTTAAAACCAAATCCCTCCTCTTCCGAGTAAAGGGCAGAATCCAGAGCAAGTGCTGACTGACCCAGCAGGCATGACAGGCAGCACAGAGTTGGGGATAAAGCCACCTCAGTGGTTTACTTCAAGTCAGCTCTGTGACTGAAGGAGGACAAAGTCACAGCGTGGGAATAAAGACCCCAGTGTGAGGACATCTGAATTTCAGCCTTTGCTGTCAGGAGACACTCAGAAAAAATAGCAAGTAATTGGGAGGATTCAGGATGTGTGAAATCCCACTTCTCCTCAATGGAGAAAGTTTCTTTAAAAACCACGCTTGCTTAAAAAAAAAGATCCAGCAATTCCTTTTTGAAGGGTCATCATTCATAACAGAACTTCTTATGTGCAACTGTGCTTAATTTCATTTTAGAGTATATACTTCTGATTCAATAGAGTGCATTCAGATGTTCGGTCACTCAGGCTCTAGGGCCGGCTAGGAATGCTCTTGAGAACATGGCACAGCCTTTTCCTTGCTGAATCCTACGTTCAGGTAAAGGGAGAAACAATACCACAAATCAAGGAAGTCAGCCTTGGGCATAGTAAGGCCTCACAGCTACAAAGGCTTAGGATGAAAATGAACAAACTTGCCACCGTGAGTGAGGCAGAGAAGCGGGTTCAGAGGTCAAAGAGAACACAACATCAGGCAGAGCCTTGTCTGCTGTGGCAAAGCCTTGAGACTTTATTCTGCGTGAGCTGGGAGCCAGTGGGAGACTCTGAATCTAGAGTAATGTGAGTTGGCTTGAGGTTTATTTCACGAGGATCCTCCTTGACTGTTATGTAAGCTGTCCTCTGAGCATCAAGTCCATTGTCATCTGAAACAGCAGCTGTGACCACATGCACTCACGTGCGCATGCACACATACAGTTCTCAAAACTTGGCTTACTGGCATTTCTTCACAGCACTCCTGAGGGGCAGGGGATGGCCCTTAGGCTGAGATTCCAGCCATTCCTGCCTGCACCCTTCCTCCCTTCCAGAGCTAGGTAACTTTGTGCCAGCAGCAGCAAGTGCAGCCTGTATACAGAGGGTGATCATGAAGTCTAGCCAATCCCAATACCCAGGAGATCAAGGCAGAAAGACTGACGTGAGATCAAGCCCGGCTTAAGCGACACCATAAGTTCGAGGTCAGCCTGGGTTATAGTGTGAGACCCTCTCTGGAGGCAGAGGCAGGAAGATTTCTGTCAGTTCAAGGCCAGCCTGCTAATATTATGGTACTATTACTGGAATGTAGCATGGATAATCCATGTATTTGGTAGCCATCTTGTATCTCAAAAGGAATCTGATAATTATGACATAAAGTAAAAGTCAAGCAACCAGAAGGCCTCTGGGGCTCACAGCCTGAGAAACTGGAACAAGGCAGTGTCACTGATACAGGGGACACTGAGGAAGCCTACGTGGGGGGAAGGATGAGGGTCTGGATGTACCGATTTAGAGCTGCTAGTGAGACATCCTAAGGGGGAGGTCAGAGTCCTTAACAAACAAGTGTGAGGGTCAAAAGAGACCAAGGCTGCTTAAGAGTTGTGGGTAGAGAGGGGGTTCAAAGATGGAAGACTAAACACCTCCTGGGGCATGAAGCTAGCTAGAGAAGATAACCTTTTGGAGGAGGGACGCTTCCAAATGGGAGAGCTAGTAGCAGTGGGCTTACTGGGGTCAGAGGAATCTTGGAAGCTAAGCAGAGTAAAGTCCATTGACTTAAAATAAACTCCCAGTTCAGAAAATTAAAACAAAAAACCAACCAACCAAAAAAAAAAAAAAACAACAAAACTCACCCTGCCAAGCAACTCATTATCAAAGAACATGTTTGTACTGGGGATGGGGGTGGTGGTGTACTACAGTATTGCAACTAAGTTGTGACCCTCAAATGGAGGGAAACAATTAAAAAGGTTTCCCTTACCTAATACTACATTAGGGGAGTTTATTTCACCAGCATGGGCCCATCCCCCGCTTCTGCTGAACCTAAGTAACTCCTCTGCTCTCTGCATATGGAGGCTGCAGTCTTCGGATGTGCCTCATCTATTTCCGATGGCCTCACCGTTTCCATGTGCCGACCCCTTCAAGGCTTCAGAATTGGCTGCAAACCTCCTCTTTCCATCTCTCACCACTAGCCTGTCTCCCAGTGGTCTTCAACTCACAGGATCCTCATGTTAAAAATGTCCAAACCAGAATTTATCTTTTTCCTGCTACCCCATCTCAGATCATCATCTGTCTAATCTTGACATTTACTGTCACCCCAGAAAGAATCTGGAGAATCGCCACAGGCTCCTCCCTTGCTCTCATTCCTACATGATTCGGAGTCAAGCCCAGGAACCTTAGCTTCAGCACAACTGGAATGCAATGCACACCAGGCCTCTTACAGCCTTTCTCCTTTAGATGGAGGAAGCTCGCTCAGACTTCACTGGAGGCCTGACACGCCAGTGCACCACACCCTTTATGAACTATGGTTTTTTCCTGTATGTGTCTATCAATCTGTCAGTGATACTGTTTAACTCACACACCAGGCATAGTAAGAGATGACTAATGAGGAACAGCCATGATATACTTCGATAATGTTACACGGAGGCTAGGCACATGCTGTTTAATCTTCGCACTCAGGAGACAGGCAGGAGACTCTCCATAAGTTCGAGGCCAGTCTGGTGGTGTACACAGAGAGTTCCAGGTCAGCCTGAGCTAGAAAGTGAGACTGTCTCAAAAAGCAAAGCAAAACAAGGGGCTGGAGAGATGCCTCAGCAGTTAGGAGTTTTTGCTGTTCTTGCAGAGGAGCCAGGCTTGGTTCCCAGCACCCACATGGTGGCTCGTAAGCATCTAGAACTCCAGTTACAGGGGATTCAATCCCTACTTCTGTTCTCCTTGGGCACCAGACACACTTTGGAGCCTCAGCATGCATGCCTGCAACACACTCAAAAGTATCTTACTGTAGTGTGTTCACCTTTTAAAAATCCAGTGCCTGCTTGATGGCAGGAAGTAGGGGCAGCAGGCCTTGTGAAGTAATCTTAGGCCACCATAAAGGGGAGCAGGGCTATAAAGTAGATGTAGGCTACTGTAGTGGGTTACTCAAACAAAGCACACCCATGGCTCAACAATCTACCCAATAGCCTTTAAGTGACCAGTAGAGAGGCAGGATATACAACACACCTAAATTTGGGAAAGGGGGTATTTTGAGTCCCATGTGGAATGGAGTGGGGTGTTTAGAGCACGATGCTATCAAAATGGCATCGAATTTAAACTTTATGATTTTTTAAAAAAATATTCACTTAGTACTTCTGGGCTATAGTTGACTGTGGGTAACTGAAACTGAATTTGAGGCTGTGTTGAAGTGGGTACTTCTGCCTTTCTGTCTCGGGACCTTCTTCACTTATTCCCAGAATTACCTCAGCATTCCGTCTTCTCAGGTCCTCTGGGCACATGCAAAAATTTCCCTCTAGAAAGAGAAAATGGAATTGTTTTTTAAAAATTGCAATCTCTGGCCTCACGGCACAGCAGGTAGACTGGTTACTGGAAATATCAGTGGGACTCAAAATCAAGGATGGAAGATTGTCTTTAGACAGGGGGAGTGAGGACAGAGTTGGTCACTAGACATTAGGGTTGAGGGTTCAGTTAAATCACTTGCTTATTTGATATCCTAAACAACCCTTATCACCCGTGTATCCCCACAAGCTCACTTCCTCCAGGAAGTCTTCCATCCCACTATACTTTATGAATGCCTTTATCTTGCAACCTTTTATGCGAGTGACTTTGATCAGACTACAGCTTCCTTGCATGCTCATGGTTTAACATAGCACCTAGCATACGGCAGATTCTCAATGATACAGAATGCAGTTCCTCTATATGTAAAAATAGGATGATAATGACCAATTTTAGCAGATCTTTGAAATGTGCACAAGATGTATGTGAATTATAACTTAATGTATAAATTACTTGTTTGTACCCTCACTACCTCGTGGAATAAAATATCCTCCTGGAATGGAATATCTTGGACTAACAGTCAAGGCCTCAGACCATCTGACTTCCAGGATACTTCTTCATTTTGCTTCTGGCTATGCCTTCATTATGTCATCTTCAGGTAAGTAATATTTCAAACACATCAACCTTTTTCATACATCTCATGATTTCATATTTTACTTCCCTATCAACACGTCAGTATCAATAACACTGGCTATTACAATAATTGAAGCTATGGAGAGTAAAAACAGTCAAACCTTACTTTCTACTACAAAGTAAGTTTTTCCTACCCTCTACATCTTTCCATCCTGGTCAAGATTTCATTCAGTTACCAGAGTGTTTTAAAACAGGAACTCGATTATACTGTCACTGTCCATAGGGAGGAGGCTCTGTGGGACTTGTCTTTCCTCTGTCACTTTATCTCCCTCCACTGCTGTTCCACTAATGGCTTTTTTTTCTACAGTCACAGCCACTAGAGGACTTGTAGTTTCACTGAGATAATAGGAGCTCTCGGTTTTTGTGCCTTTATACATGATATGTCCTTTGTCTCTGATGTCCTCCTCTTCTTTGTCTACCCCGTGAACTTCCTGTCATCCTTTAAGATCTAATTCAGATGTAAAGTGTTCTGTGGAATCTGCCCTTAAATACTCCTTGGCAGAATTAGACGCTCTCTCCTCTCTCATTATGCAATACATATCTTGTCACAATCTTCTATGACTGCGCCTGTCACCTCCACTAACCTGTAAACTCATGCAGCACAGGGCTATGCTTTATCTCTGGGTCTTTCCTGCCGGGTAAAAAGCGTGTGCTCACTGCTGATGGGCTGAATATATCAAAGAGTAGCCCTCGGTGAGACCTGGAGCTGTCCTCGAAGCTTCTGCGTTGCTGACCAGTCCGCGTAATGCTTTCCACCTCTAGGCTATTAGTCACTTCAAGCTCTGAGGTGGCAGTCAGGGCTTGTAGGATGGCGTTTCTGGTCCATTACAATTACAATAGGAACACAAACTGTAAAAAAACAAAAAAACAAAAAAACAAACTAGAAAGTATTAGATTTAGAATATTAGAACAGTGCCACTGGCCGAGACTGTATAACAGGATTTTTGCCTTCCATCTGTTTGATCCTCTGAGGACAGGTCAAAAGAACCTGCTGCACACATCTTGCTAGGGGCCCTACAAGTGGGGCACATTAGGGAGCCGGATGTTAGGAACCAGAAGTTAGGAACCGGAAGTTAGGAACCGGAAACAAGGACACAGAAGCAAGGAAGCGGAAGTTGGCAACGGCATGGGCACTTGGGTGTCTTTGAAGAGGCCGAAGAGCCTGGGGGTTTAATTTTGATGGGGAAGAGATCCCCAGGTAGGTGGCTGGAATGGCTCACCAGGTAGTAACCTGTAGTGTGGAGAAGGTGGATGAAGGGAAGCCAGCCGCCTTCTCGACCAACTTTCCTGTTGCCACAATTCATCCTCGGCACAGAACAGGCAGGCCTGCAGGCCCCGAGGCTGATGCTACCAGATGCCATGCGGCTCCTCCTTTCTTCCTGAAGTTTCTTCAGTGAAGTTCCCTATCTAAGGAAATTGTGTCCATTTTTGTACAGTTGTCAGTATGGTCTCTTGTGTGACTTAGTGACCCAGCTCACTATTCCAAACACCCTGTTGAAAAATGAAAAAGGTGCCAGGAAAGACTGTCTAGCGGAAGTTGATGCTCTCAGTGTCTACCCTCCGTTTTTTCAGATTTCTCTCCAAATCCCTTGTCTTTCTTCTTGCCACCGTCCTACGAGGTGTACTTTATGCTGTAGATGAGGAAACTAAGGCACAGAGATGACATTAATTATGGACTGGACCTCAAATCCCTGTGGTTGATCTTAAATGCACTGAGGTGACACCTGTCAACGCCACAGCATAGCCATTCCCTTGGGGGCTGGCGGAAGGGTGGGAACTATGCTTTGTGTCCCTGTTTCTCTTACCCCTTCCTTCTCTAGGATGGAGGTTACCATGTAATAAGATTTGGGGAAATTGCTGAAGTCAGAAGTGGCTCAAATAGTTTCTCAGCCTCTTTCAGTGTTGAGTTCTCTCCATCCAAACTGCAACCTCTTTCAATGCCACAGTATTCTCTATAATGGCTTGATTAACAATCTTGGGCAGAACCAGTTTCCTCCTGAGCCAGACTCAAGTCTGTAGTCAGAACCGGAAGAAACAATAACGTTGCTTTCCTCCTAGCACTCTCTCAAATGTTGTCTTTCTAGAGATCCTTTTAGACACTCATTTTCTTAGATGTTATTGTTAATATTGCCCCAAGTCTGGATAGTTTTCTAGGTTTTGTTTTTATTTGATTTTTTAAAAATTTTACGTGTATGGATGTTTTGTATTCATGAACATCTGTGCACCTTATGTGTGCAGTACCTGCAGAGGCCAGAAGGGGTGTCAGAGTCCCTGAAACTGGAGTTACAGATGGTACTAGCCATGTAGGTGCTAGAAAGAGAGCCCTGGTTTGCTGGAAGAGCAGTCAGTACTCTTAACCACCAAGCCATTTCTCTAACCCTCCCCTCTGGTTCTTCAGTACTTTATTTTCGATTACGAAATCTGAAGTTTCGAAGACCAGTTTCCCCTTTTAACTTAGTAGTGAAATCTGAACCAAAATGAGGTCATATATAACCTCTATGCCAAATATCTACAAGTTTCGTTGCAAATATGTTGGTGGGACTTGTCGATCAGAGCATCCCTGCCCCTTACTGTATGTGTTCTGTAATGTGTGGTACAGGCACTGCAGTGCTTTTCAGAACAGCAACAAAACTTCAGTTCAACTGGTTGCAAGGAAACTCTGTGGGATTGTGGACCACTAGTTTAACATCATCTGATAAATGGTTTCTTGTCTCAAATCTGGTAAAATGGCAGGGAAGGAACAGTGCTGGGGAAGTGGACAGAGCCAAGAAAAAAACTGAGAGAAAACTATGACTTCTTTTAGGGTACACACACACACACACACACACACACACACACGGGAAGAGAACCAGATTCAACTTCATCATGTATTTGCTTCAGAAATATTTAATCAAGAAAGTTCCTTGTCTAAACAGGAAGTTTTAGACCATAGGGAACACAATTTGCATACATTTCTTCACAACACTATATAAATGTTTCTCGAGAGACATTTGTTGATTGCTTTGAAAATATTTGCTCAAATTCTAAACTTTTACATACATGACAATTACAGGAGCTGGATATATTTTTTTAAATGTCATATTTGAAATCGAAAGCTGTAGAATCAGTTCCAGGTTATCCCACAGCAGAGTCATTTAGTCATTTGGTCATTCTGTCCTCTCATGTGTCCTGGGTCCCCACCATGGCTAGGTGGTCCTTGGGTGTTGGATTGCAGTGGTAAGTAAGATAGTCAGGTCAAGGTCTCTGCCCAGTGGGAGCTTCTAGTCTGACATTATTTGCCACAGTCAAACAACAAGTTGTTAAGTGCATATTATTTTAAATGTCATGAAAGAAATCTAAGTGCCAAAAAAGAGATCAGTTGGGTGTTGAACAGAGTATTATGGGATGACCTTCATAGTGAGTTAAGAGCTCAGAGGGATGATGAATCTGAGACATGAATTGCCTTTCTCCCTCTTGTTTCTCAGTGTGCCAGTGACGTAGGTAGCCAGACAACTGAGAGTCAAGTGTGGAAGCTTGCCTCCTTGCCACTGATTGGTCTCAGATGCCATATAATCACAGGAACCTAATGAGAGGGGCTACTCTGAGACACAGACATAGGATGTACTTACCCAGTCTCAGATGGCTATGATGTCACTAGGTGATGTAATTTTGTGTGACCACAGTCATGTATGACATCCTTGCCTGAAGCCTCTGTGCAGCACATGACTGTAATTACAACCTCCAGGTTACCTGGAGGAATGAGGAAATAGCCTTTCTTTATAGTTGAGTGTCTAAAATATAATAAGCTCACAATATTTACAGCTAACACCAGTTACTGAGTTCTTTATGGCAGAATTGTGGCTCACTATATCGTGACACTCTGTGTGAGCACGTGATATTTAATTTACGTATCTAGACTTTTTTTCTTCATAGCATTTGTAACAGTTGGGAGAGTATTTACCTTTGGCATGGTTTTATGCACATCCATTTTAAACTACTGTTCTGGGTTAGAAGGCTCTTAATTTTTTTTTTTTCAGAAAACAGAAAATTTGTTTAAGAAAACGCTTCAAAAATTCAAGGATGCAGTTTAGAGAACATAGGAAAACTGAATAATAAAGGCGGTCTTTCCAAAATAGGTAGCTATAAAAACAAAAGATTTTTAAACAGCTGTTCAATTCCAACAAGTTATAATTCTAAGGCAGTTTTCTTTTTTAAAGAAAAAATAGACTTGTGAAGACATGGATCAATATTTGTTATTCTAGGCTGGTGTTACAGTGCAGCTCTGCATTGAGTGAGTTTGGTAGAGGGGAAAAAAAGGACAGTAGAAATTGAAAATTTTTAATAGCGTACTAACCATTATAAATCAGGTTTTCACTGCAGGAGGAAGTCAGACAAAATGCTCGCATTCAGGGTGCAAACGAGGCAACCAGAACATCACAGAAACACACTTTTCTTTTTCTTCATAGAATATGGTCTTTTTCTGAGAAATCTTAATTAAATCGATTATATTTTCTGTCTCATTTATTTGAGAGTGGGGGGGGGCTGAAGGGTTAATGATTTCCTGTTTTTTAAAAGGTGATAGTTCATTTAACCATGCATCTGAAAATTATGTTTTCCCTTGACGCACAAATTAATCAGGCGTGAGGTGGGAGCCCAGGAGGCCAAGGAAACAAAACTAAAAATACCAAACAGTCGTTATGAGTTTGATTTTTTTTTCTTTTGGATGTGTGCAGCTTTGATAGCAAAATCTGATTATAGTTCATCTAGGCTTCGTTGGGTCTGGATGCTCATCAGTGCTTGAAATCAATTTGGCACAGTGCCTTGGTCCCTGTCGGAGGTGAATCACCAAAGAAATTACAAACTAAGTGACTCACCTTCCTGCAGAGTAATGAAAAAGAGGAAGGGACGGTTTCATGTAAATTAGAACTGATAATTCTCAAACATCTTTCGAATTCTTGGGGCTGAATACCCGCTTAAGTTTGAATGTATTTTTATGTCAACCTAAATACCTTCCTCTTCTATGTATCCGGGAAGCTGCTAGTCACTCCACGCCTTAGGGAGTTCCTCACGCCATATCATTTATAAATACCACTTTGATACTGTTGAATGTTAAAACCACACCTTTTTTATCCCTGAAAGTAATCGACGCTTTCCCTCTAGTTTGCTAGGCTAAAATGCTGGCTTTGGGTACTGGCATTAGCTGTAAAACAAGGAGGTAGAATATTTGTCTTAATGCCGGCTCCCTAGATAGACAAGAAAGCTCCTGCCCGGGTTCCATCAGGGTGCTCTGTGGTTCCGCAGAGAACACAGTTGCAGGTGCGAGGACGTCTTCACACTCAGTTTTCGCCACCATTCAAATTATTTCCAGGACACAGTGTTTGTATAATGACAGTGTGTGTTAAGAAAGAGATGTCAGAGTGCAAATTCCCCCTGAAATACTAATCTGTCTCCTCTGTGTGTAGTAAGCCTTTAAACTCGTTGCATTCCTTGCCGAGGGGGTTGAGCGATATTTTCTGCGGAACCTTTCAGGAGCAGATAGACTACCTATGTTTCTTTGAATAACGGTCAATCTTGTGAGGGATTTTCCCGTGCTCATCCTAAGTACACCTATAGAGAGTCCTCTCCTCCCTCTGGCTGATAAAGTGATGGACTCCCTTGGAAACTAAATCTGGATTTTTTTTTTCCAGACTAACTTGGTCTTCTGTAGACAATTTTTTTTTTGAGTAACTCACACATTTTTCATACTTTCCTTGCAGGAAATCGATACTTTACCATGTGGAGATGAATCATTTGTGTTTGAGAGCTGCAGAACCAGGGACGGATCTGTCAGGCGCTCTGTAAACCAGTCACTCCTGACCCATCGCTCTCACCCCCCACCTCCACCCTCAGACTCACTGTAGCTATGTCATTCAGGAGACAAGTGAAGAACTTTGTGAAAAATTACTCAGAGGCCGAAAAAAAAGTCAGGGAAGCAACTTCCAATGACCCCTGGGGCCCCTCCAGCTCTCTGATGCTAGCCATCAGTGACATGACTTTCAGTGCGGCCTCCCTCTCGGAGATCATGCACACGCTGTGGCGGCGCCTCAGCGACCATGGGAAGAACTGGCGCCACGTGTACAAATCCCTCGCCCTGATGGACTACCTCATCAAGAACGGCTCCAGGAAAGTCATTCAGTATTGCAGAGAGGGCGTCTGTAACCTCCAAATGCTAAAGGATTTTCAACACATAGATGAAGCCGGCAAAGACCAAGGTAACAGTTCGTAAAAATTAGACAGGGTGCCTGTAAAGACAGGCGTGCAGAGCGGTGTTTTAAACCTTCAGCTGGAGCAAGGTGGTTCTTGATTTTGAGGGTGTCTTCTTATGTACCCTAGGCTGTCCTGAGCTTGCCCTCCAGCCCCAACCTCCCACATGCTAGGTTGATGTGCACGCTGTCATTACCCCGGACTTGAAGAGTTGTTCTTAAATGTCCTAGCCGCCGTGTTTCTTAGACAGCTATGATTCACATTTTCATCCCCTATGTTGACTGTGGCACTTGGGAGAACAGTGCGTTTGTTTTCAAAAGAACATAGAATGCGCTTAGGTCCTGATCCAGTGATACCTCATAGAAAAGCAAATACAGCAAATGAAAGAGGAGACACTGCAGTTTGTATATTGATGTCATTGTAATTCGTAAGTGTAATTAAGTTGGAATTTAGTCATAAATTAGAGAAGTGTTTCTAAGGACTCTGGAATCTCTGAAGGCTATGGAGATGGGCTCACTTTCCAAAGCACAGAAATTCAGGTCATGAGATAATTCTGGGTGTGGAAAGGAGATGGCATAGGAAGATGTTATAGAGGACTGAAGTGGGTTGGTGCCAAATTTGCGAAGGAAAAGAGCCAACATTCCTTTCCTTTGTGTTAGAAATGCAAAGTTATAATTGTGCTTAAAGTGATAGGCTTTAAGTCATAAGAAGAGAATAAAGTTCACTCTACTCTCCATGGTTACTGCATTTTAAAATGACACTTTAAAGAAATACAAAAAATAGACAAAAAAATAGTTTCTCTGTACTCTTCTCCACCAAAATATCATCTCTTCAGTTTCTAACATCAGTGAGGTACGTTTGCTGCAAGTGGCAGCCAGTGTTGATACTGCTACTATGTTCAGTTTATTTGTGTCGTAGTCCTGTAGGTGTTAGAAAGACGTATTGTCCTCTGTCCACAACCCAGTGTAACACAGGGTCTTTCACTTTCCCAAGGACACCTCATGACATGCCCACCCTCTTTGCTCTGGATGCCATTGGCTTTTATAGTTTTACCTTTTCCAGACTTCATAAAACTTCTTTAGCCTGGTTTCTTTCACTGGCAGTATACCCTAAGGTTCTTCCATATCCTTCCATAGGTTGGAAACTTGTTTCTTTTTATCTTTCCTCTTTATAAAAAGTTTTGTTGAGATATAATGCACATACCATATAAATTGTAACTTAGATACATACATAATGTAATTATTTATAAAATACAGGGCCATTTATATACAGTATATAATTATAAGGTTTTTATCATAAGATGTGATATCTATATCAACATTTGCCTTTTTGTATTCCTTTGTATTAATGTTTTTGAATCAAACTCTCACATGGACTTGAGTTTATTAAGTAGCTGAGTTGAGTTGACCTTGAACTCCTGATCTTCCTATTTTTTTTTCTTTCCATTAGGTTTCTTTCTCTCACCCTATGGTCCTTGATCTCCTCCATGTGGTAGTATGTATTAGAATTCCATACATTTATGGCTGAATGGCATTTTACTTTCTGTACTTAACAGCATTTAAACAAACCTGTTCCTCTGGGGTGGTTCTACGTGTGAGCCCTAGCTAATAGCGCTGCAGTGAACATGGCTGTGTGTTGGTTCAGGCCTCTGCTGCCAGTGCTTTGGCTTGCTTAGAGAACAGTAGAATGGCTAGAGCATGCTAGTGTCAGTGTCTGGCCTTTGGAGGATCTGCTGAGCTGTCTTTCACTCCCATCAACAGGGTAAGAGGGTTTCATTTCTCCTGTGTCCTTGCTAACACTTGTTATTTTGTCCATCTTAAAATCACGGTATATGAAGTTGGACCTTGCTGTGCCTTTGATTTAAATTTCCCTCAGACTCACAATCTCAAGCATCATGCCCCTGCTGCCAATATAGCTGTCGTCTTATATATTCTGGGTACAAGACCTTACCAGATAGGTGGCTTGAAAGTATCTTCTGCTATTCTGTAGGTTGCCTCTTTGCCTTCTTGATGTATTTGTCCCCCTGTGCACAAAATTTTATTGTTATTTTTAAGCACTCTTACTATGTATCTCTAGTTGGCCTGGAACTTTGCTATGTAGACCAAGCTGGTCTCAAGCTCACAGAGATCCACCAGCCTCTGCCTCCCTGGTACTGGGATTAAAGATGTGCACAACCTCATCTTGTGAAAAGTTTTCAATTTTGATGAAGTGTAATATATCTGTTTTTTATTTGGTTGCTTTACTTTTCATATCATATCTAAAGCGAATTATTGTCAAATACCAGGCCATGATGGCTGACACTTATATTTTCTTCTAAGAGTTTTATAGTTTTAACTCTCTTGTCTCCATAGCATTTTCATTGCTGTGATGAAACACAATGACCAAAAAGCAAGTTAGAAAGGGAAGACAGGAACGCAAACAGGGCAGGAACCTGGAGGCAGGAGCTGATGAGGAGGCCATGGAGGGGTGCTTCTTATTGGTTTGCTTCCCATGGCTTTCTCAAAGTGCCTTCTTATTGAACCCAAGACCACCAGCCCAGGGAGGGCACCATTGACAAGGACCTGGGCACTCCCCAATCAGTCACTAAGAAAATGTCCTGCAGCCTGGTCTTACGGAGGTATTTTCTCAGTCAAGGTTCCCTCCTTTCAGGTAACTCTAGCTTGTGTCGAGTTGACATAAAACTAGCCAGCACACGCTCTTATTCAGATCTTGGATTTCTGTTGGCTAAATATTTCTGTATGATATGAGATAGGAAACCTACTTCAAATTTTTTTCATATGGATGCCTTACCTATTGAAAAGAATGTGCTTCCCCATTGAGTTAGTTACACTGGCCCCTTATGATAAGTTATTTCTGTAATATGCATCCTCATAGATCTGTGTGTCTTTCATATACCAGCACATTGCTATATCTTTGTAGAAATATTTGAAATTAAGGAGTATAAGTACTTCAACTCCATTCATCCTTTTAAATAGCAGTTTACTTATTCCAGGTCCCTTGCATGTCCTTGTAGATTTATTGTCAACTTATCAGTTTCTATTCAAATTGCAGATAAATTATGGTTGGGGTTGCATTGGCTCTCTAGACAAATTTGGGGAGCATTGCTATCTTATAGATTTTTCTTAAATTTTTTTTTTTTACTTTTTGAGTGTATGATATAATTTTATCATTTCTCTCCTGCTTCCAAACTCTCCAACATATTCCCACTTTTCTCTTTAAAATTCATGACCTCTTTTGTGGGAAAATTCTGTTAATTAAGATCGAAGCCCACCATGACCTTGTCTGGGGAATTCTAAGGCCCCAGATATGCCTCTACCTGAGGAATGTCACATAGCCTCAATTAGATTACTCAATTTCCTTTCTCCTGATAAAACCTGTTCAGCTAGCACCTGAGATTCATGAAATGCTTCCCCATGCTAATGAGGAATTTTTGGTACCTAAAGCCCTCCGCCAATGACATTTGCCCATCCTGGATGTTCCTACCCTCAGTCCTCCAGAACTTTATAAGCCTTAAATCACCCTTAATAAAGTTGATCTGCCCTCTGATAGCTGGCCCTGCTGTGGCTATTTACAAAATGTACTCACAGGGCTTCTGAACACCCCCCTCCCAGCCCTATTGTCTCTGCTCTCTTTGTCCCACTGGACCACATCAGGGCCTATGATCCATGAGAGAGTATATTCTTGAATAAACAAATACAGCCTCATCAGTCCATAAAATGTTACTTGCATGTATATGTATTCATAGCTAACCGTTTGGTGTTGGAAAGCCAATTGGTGTGCTCCTCTCTAGTGGCTATTTCTCCAGCTCTCAGCTTTTTAAGTTACCTGTAGTTCTTTGTCTAGGGTTGAGGCTTCACGAGCTTTCTTCCTTCCAGGTGAGCACATCTGTTGGTATTGTCCATATTCAGGTCTTGTTTAGGCAGCCATGTTGGTGTGACTTCATAGATGTAGCTTCTGATATTTCTAGGAGGCACCATCTCTCAGCAAACTTCCTGTTCCTCTGGCTCTTACAACTCCACTTCGTTTGGTTGTGATTTTTCTGTAATGGTTTCCCTCTCTTGCAAAGAGAAGTTTCCTTGATGAGGGGTGAGAACGACACTTAGCTGTGGGCATGAAGATACATAGTTCTAATTTAGCTAGGGACTATGCTGTTTTATTAAAATGATGATTGTAGATTCTCCTCCAAGATCCATGAATTCAGAGCCCTTGAGTAGTTGGCTAGGTTTCCAGAACCAGGCACAATTTCCTTCCTGTTGAGTGGGCCTTAAGCTCAATTAGAAAACTGTTGGTTACTGCCACAGTATGCAGGTCACTACCACACCCTGAGTATCATTGAGCCACGCTGGTGTTGGTGTGGTCCGTAGGTATCATAGCTGGGTAGCACTGTTGGTTGTCTCCCTCCTTTGGAAGCTGCATGGCACCTTCTGGTACCATGAAAGCTAGTCCTTAAGGAGGAAGCTTTCAGGTCAGATCCAGCTCATGTCTCTCTGGGCCCCGTTTATCTGAAGTGCATGGTGTCTTCAGGAACAGGGACTTACCTTCTACCTCTTGGGGGCAACCAAGGACAACAGAAATGACTGTAGTGTTTTGTGTTTTACTTTCTCTTGGACTACCCTGACCAACAACTCAAAAGAGGGCTTCTCATGTCTGGTTGTTGTTGTTGTTAGGTAATCTATGGCTCTTGGGATGGAGTGTTGTCTGCCCAGATTGGAAATTTTTATTAAAACTACATACATATATTTGTATACTGTTGTAGGTATTTTTAGGTAGATTGGTAATATATGTGTGCTGGCTAGTTTTATGTCAACTTGACATCAGGTGTATCCATCTGAGAGGAAGGAAACCTTAGTTGAGAAAATGCCTCCATAATATATGAGTGTAGGCTGGCCATGGTAGTACATGCCTTTAATTCCAGTACTTGGGAGGCAGAGCAGGAGGTTCTCTGTAAGTTCAAGGCCACTCTGGTCTTCACAGGGAATTCAAAGATAGCCAGGACTACGTAGAGAGA